ATCATGGCTCTTCACAATTTTCTGTCCTTTGTAGCTCTCAGTAAATTTTGTCTTATTGTTATCTCTCCTAATCCCTATTCTGCCAGCAATTTATATAAGTTTGTTAGGTTATGTGCTATTTTCCTCTGTCTCTTTAGTCATCAATATATGTTACGAGTATTAAATTTTGCAAGCCTTCTTTTCTCATTATGTGCCCTCAAAATTTCAACTATCTCTTTCTGATGTTAAGTCTAAATAGGTTTTATCTTTTCATTTTCTCTTAAACCTCATTGATGTTCAAGTCATGGTATTCTCAGTATCATTCTGTAGAACTATCATCTAAATTCCTTCTTCATCTGAGGGGAGATTTTTAAACCTTCATTGCCATATAGGAGGATTGATATTACATAACAATTCAGTTTCTAATGAAATTTTCCTGTTCCTTAATTGCCTTTGGATGTCAGTGTCACACTTTTCACTCTATGTTTAAACATTTTCCAGATATTTAAATTATGATTTTGGCACTATTTACATTATTCGGACTATTGTCCTCATCTTTGTTGTTATATTTATCATAAACGTTTCAGCCATTGTCTGCTCCAGCCTTCTTCAAGTGGTTCGAATGTCGAACTGAACCTCTTTATTTTGCTCGCTGGGGTAGACAGTTCTAGTTCCACGTACCATGTCTACTGGATGACAGTTATCAGTTATCTTCTTTTAATTCCCCTCTCCAAGTTCTCCACCACCTTAACCAGGTATTGAACTCACATTCTTTGGGTCCTGTCACTAGATCTAACTAATGCCTTTATCCACTGTCCTTGAGAACATCTGTGTTGAATTTTTGGGTATTATAAACCCAATCTCTTCAGCAATCATTTTTTACCAGAGCTTATATTGTAATTTTTGTTATTATCACTTTTCTTTGGCACTCCTTATTACGGGTTCCCATATTGTATTCATTTCTATGCTTGGTCAGCTCAGAAGGTTTTTGTGGCTTAGCATATGTGCTGATCCCTTAAGCTTATGAATTTTCCAATGATGTTCTTTGTCTATGTTTTCAACCTGATCCCACAAAGGGCGGTGATCTCTCTTTTCTCTTCATATGTCGTCAGCCACATCTGATTTTTCCACTTCCCCTCATGTTACTGCTTTCTGGTGTTCATGAAGCTTTACCTGTCTCCCCTTTATATTTCTTTCTGTAGCTCCACAGGATGGCATACACAGAGTCTTTAGTCATGTTCTCCTCTATGGGGGGGGTGTTACTTAGGAGAGGTATCTGCAGTGATGTCCAGATTTTGAAGGTTGTCCTGATGTTATATGGACTGCAGATCCTTTGTATTTTTTCTAATAACCCCTTCACATAAGGCAGGCAGACTATTTCATGAGTGTTGTTGTCCTCCTCTTGTACCTGCCTATCCCATTTTATTGGGGCTGCTGCCATGTATGATTTTGGCATCTCCAGTTTGTAATTTGCATGCTGGACTGTTCCTTTTGTTGACAACCCTGAATTCTATCTTCTTGAGGTTGTGGCCTCCAATATGGAATCCTTCGGTTACTTATATTAAAAACTCATGGACAGTTACTGCACTGTTTACTGTAGATGGTAATTCCTGATGTTCAGTATTTATAGTACACTAAGGGATGTCAAATGTCCCCACAATTTCAGAAAGTTAATGTCCTATGCCTCTTGCATCATTTTTTTTTAATTGTTTCATCTCAACCAAAACGATAATGCTACTAGAATACTGTGGGTTAAACAGAGTGAAAGGGAAAAAAATGAAAAATCTGTTAAAGTGGCAGTTAAATCTACATAATTCAACAGTAAAATGGTGGGACCTAGTTTCTAATCTAGTAGCAAGCTTAAATTCATGTAAATGAGGCACTAGAAAGAAAAAACAGGCAGAGAGAAGCCATGTCAGATCAGTGAGAAAGTGACTAAAGTTGAGATGGTTGGTCAGAATCAATTACATTATAGACCCTTCTTTGGATTATGTCTAAAATCTTGAGGTGTACAGCAGGAGCATTAGACCAGATGTGATAATAAAACTATTATTCTCTGTTCAAATGCTGATATTCATGGTGCTTGTCATGAGCAGCCTAATGCGTGTTCATAACTTCCCATCCTTTGTAGCTCTAAATAATGTTTGTCTCTTTACTATGCCATCAAGTCTCTGCTCTCCTATTAATTTACATTTGATGGTTTGGTTTGTTTTGTTTTACAGCATATCAACCTCACTGGATCATTTAATGCCAACAACTTTTTTTTTCTGGTAATATTTTTGTTTTGTCAAAAATCTATTTCTGTTAATATTTTTTTTCCTCAAAAATGTATAGCTGGTAATATTTTTTTCAAAAACGTATTTCTGGTAATATTTTTTTTCTTCAAAAATTTATTTCTGGTAATGACTTTTTACAAAACATTTCTGGTATTAAAACCTGTTTTTACACTTTTATAATGCTTTTTACCTCAGTTTCAGGGTTAACTATTTGCCCATAGCTGGGACCCTAACAGCTGCTACCACCCCAGGTCAGGGTGGACCTGGGAACATCAGCAATTAAGAGGTAGTTCCACACTCCTCAAAGCCTCCTGATCAGAGGCCTTGCTGTTGGACATAGTTTATTGTCTTACTCTGGATGCAACTGCAGCTTTTCTCTGCCTATATATATTATATATTGCTACACATATTGTGCTTGTGTTAATAAAACAGTGCCTGATATATGACAGAGCTATTAAATATATATTAATAAATATATGTATTATCCCTCACTGGTAGCATGACTTATAGTTTCATGCACAACACAATCTTCAGGTAACTGTCTATATTTCTGAGATGAGGTATTATGTACACTAATTACATTATTCGAACTATTGCCCTCAACCAACGACCTGAAGAAGGCTGGAGCATACAACGGCCAAAACATTGTGATAAATATGGCAACAAAGATAAGGACAATAGTCTGAATAATGTAAATAGTGTACAATCCTCAGGTGCTTGGTAGAGACTGATCATTACATGATTTAAATTTCAATAAAAATATCTGGTTAATGCAATGCTCGTGCAATCCATATATTATATAAGCATTTTTTATTTTAAAAATAAATGGTGCATTTAAAATAGACAGGATTTTTATTTTATATATATATAAAATAAACAAGGATAAATATTTTACATATACTGTCTCTACTTTGAAGTAATGATGCCAGCAGTTTTTATCATATTTATTAATAGCTCCAGACCAGAATATGGAGGAGAAAAATCAGCTTTCAAACAAAGTACAGACTGTACAAATCACAGGTAGTCTCCATTCACCTATACAGATGTAAAACATGCACACTGTTGACAGATACAGAGAGAAGGATCCAAGTGCTTGAGAACAAATGCATGAGAAAACTCCTTGGCATTTTCTATTGGGAACAAAAGACCAATGAGTTTGTGCAGAATAGGGTTGAAAGTTTTCTGGCACACCATAAACCTCTTCTCACCACTGTCAAATGGAGAAAAATGACATGCTTTGTTTACATTTGTTGTGGAGCTATTTTGCAGTGGAGGCTTGTATTTGTACTAAATCAGTCCTAAAATAGGTTCAACGTACAAAACGTTAGGAACTTGATATAATAGGTATTACGCAGAGTAATCTTGTTGTGGTCACTGACTACTTTCGTATTTGACTAACTGTCATCCGACATCGACTAACCGTCGTTTTTCTTACTACTCCTACTTATATTAGGTGGGAGAATCTATTAACTATGGAATAGGTGTGTTTCACCATAACACATTACAAGGCATGACAGCATGTGCAAGGTTATTATGCAAGGCACCATTGAAGTTGGACATAGTAGAGGATGCTAACACAAAAACTGGTTGGACAATGTCAAAAAATGAACAGATATGACTGTACGAGAATTGCTGATGGCTGCCATTGATAGACTATTGTGGGAAAGTGTTAGTACGGCATCTGCATTTGGATCTGCCCTATGATTACAAAAGTCAAGAAGATAATGATGATGATTTAATAGCTCTGTTATATTACATCAAGCACTGTTTTATTAACACCAACACTATATGTACTCTCTTTCTCTCTCTCTCTCTCTATATATATATATATATATATACACACACACACACTACTTTGAAGAAAGGATGCAAGCAGTTTTTATCATATTTGCTCTCAGCCAGTGCTGGAATCAAATTTTCTCTCTCATTGTTTTCATATTTACATAAATTGTTTACAGATACATACCTTTCTCAAAGATAACAGTACAAAATGGGTCTATCAACTAATGTTAGATATGAACAAGCACTGAATAGCTTTTCAAGCTTGAACTGGAAGGCTGGTGACCTTAAGTTATTTTACTTTCATCTACCTTGTATTCACAGGAAGAACATATTCAGACACTACTGCAGCTTCACCTTCTCTTCTGTCATTATTTTATTAAGTTTCTTTTCTATAGCATATATATATATATATATATATATATATATATGTGTGTGTATTAGTTGTATGGATATGAGTTTGTGATCCTGGGTCTCATGCTTTTGCGATCATCAGTCAAACCTATCTGATGATCGCAAAAGTGTAAAACCAGGGTCACAACTGAATATGTTGGCACTATTGCTGATATTAAGTGCTTTCCACTAAGTACTAAACATACAAAACAAAATATGCATATATATATATATATATATATATATATATATATATATATATTTAGTTGGATTGATGTGAGTTTGTGACCCTAGGTTTAACGCTATTTGTGATCTTCAGACAAACTGATTCATTTTTAAATTTTGGATTTATATATGCTTGCATATATTGGTGTCTTTACAGTAGTGGGAGGAGAATTGTCATTGGAATGCCACTCACACATACACACACACATTATATATATGAAGTAGAAATTGCAAAGATAGAAATAAGCATAAAATTCCAAATCCTCAAGGGCACAGAAGAAAGGAATAATCTGTTGCAGTAGATACCTAAATAATCAAATTTGACAAAGATCAGTCAAGCTGTCTGTAATGACCAATTGCTATTATTATTTTTTTTTCTTTTCCCAAATGTTTCACCTTCCTTTTTTTCTGTTTTATGGATTCTTTAAATGCTTCACTAGACTCATTTCTTTCATTCTTGTATTTCATTCAATTATAGTTGTTATCTTTGCCATTATCTTTTTTCCTCTCTTAATTTCTCATTCCTTGTTCTTACCTAGTTCCAATTCCTGTCTATGATTAATTTTCTTTTTGTTCTTGGCTTCAATTTTCCAGCCTCTCTTCCATCTACCTTTACTTAAATTCATTTTCTCTTTTTATTACATTTTTTTAGTTTTATTTTTCCAAAATTTATTTTATCACTAATTAGGTTTCTTTTTTTTTTCTTAAAATGCCACGTCCTTTCCGAATATAGACAATCATAGCTCTCCACAGATTCCTTTTTTATCTTTTAAAACATAGTCAACCAATGCACTTTTTCCATGTTTTTTTTTTATATATATAACCCATAATTAAGTCAATTAGAGATGTGTTATTGCCTTTTCCAAGAGCATTTGTGCAAAAGCGAGAGAATGAAAAAGAAAAAGTGTAAATTTGAACTGAGCTCACCAATTCTACTTTCCATACTGATAACTGCTAGGTTACCGTAATTTCCATCAATTTCGGTATCTGCTCATAATTCTTTTGCTTTATGATTGTGTCCACTAACTTAGCTTTCTTTTGATTTCTAATAACTTTTTAGTATTTTTATTCTCTTCTTTACACATCTCTTTTTATTTCACCATTTTGTGAATTTTTCTCTCTCTTTCTAAATTATTTTTTAGTTTGTTCTTGTCTTCCTCCCACCAATCCCTTTACCTATTTACTTTTATCTCTCCTATCCTCGATTTCTCTTTCTTCCTTATTTTCTTGGCTTTTTCTTCTCTTCCCACCACCAGTCACTCTACTTATTTCCTTTTATATCTTCTGCCCTTGATTTCTGATTCTACCTTAATTCCTTGGCTTGATCTCTTCTTCCTTCCACTAATCCCTCTATCTATCTCCTTTTATCTCCCCTGTCTTTGATTTCTCTTTCTACCTTATTTTACTGGCTTGTTTTCATCTTCCTCTTACCAATACCTCCCTCCACCTCTTTAGCTCTCTTTCTTTGAATATTTCTCTCTCACTAATTTTCTTAGCTTGTTCTTATCTTCCTCCCACCAATCCCTCCACCTATCGCTCCTTTCCTTGATTTCTCTTTCTGCCTTATTTTTTTGTTTCTTTTCCTCCCCTTCCTCAGTGTCTCTGCTTTTCTCCCATTATTCTCTCCTTTCCTTAATTATTTACCCCCATTTCTGCCTTATTTCCTTCGTCTCTTCTCCTCCTCCTTCCTCCAATCTCTCCAGCTATCTCTTCATTTCTCGTTCTTTGAATATTTCTCTTTTTCAAAAATCATCCACTTTCAGATTGACTTTCTTTTCTTTGACTTTTACTTAGCACAGTGTTAAGTGCATCAGCAAGAAATCAACAAAGATCGAATTGTTCTCAGTTTCACCAAGATGCCTCTGGCATGAAAATCCTTCATATTCAGATTATGCCTGTCTTGAACTCTGTACAAGAACAATGGCACCTAACTTACAGCTTAATTCCTTTAAGCAAAACTTTGGCCAATATCAGCATTTAATAGCTATGCTTGGTAAAATTATAAGGAAACATTACTGACAATATCTTTGAGTTGATATTAATTCATATCATCATCATCTTCACAAATATTAGACCAATAGGGAGCTATTTTTCTCTGGTTACTTCACCATAGATTTAACAAAAAATCTTTAATGCTTTTACATGTATGTATGTACGTATATAGCTGGCCACTCGTATTCAAGGATACCTGTCTAGTAGGGCAGACCCTATTGCAGACCCTTGCTCAGGCACATTTGTGTTTATTCAACACCAACAGACCCCACCTGTGGTTTATACTGCAACTATACTGAGCAGACCTTAGTTACAGTTTCTGGGAAAGATCATGATATATAGTGTGATCAACAATTTGGACAAAGCTAGCATGCTCAAGCCTTCATCCACAATGACTTGCGACTTCATGTTAGCACAGCTATTAATAGCCTCCAAGGGTTCTGTCTACCCAATTTCACTCCCAAGTCTTGGGTCAACCTGTGGTATAGTTTTCATCTCTTTTCTGACAAATCAACCATGGTGAGATTTGAACCTGGGTCTCATGGTTAGAATGCAAATTTTCTAACCACTCGGCCATGTACTTGTACATATTTATAATCCAAAATGACAGAAAAAATAACTCTTCAGCTAAAAGGATTTCTTGCAATAGCATTGCATTAAAGATTATGTTAATATTAAATGATACATGACAATTACTTAAAATACTTATATGAAATATAGATGATTGTTCATGAAGTTTTAAGATTATCATACATTATAAAATTATGAAATTGCAAGAAGGACTCTTTTCTTCACTTTCAAATCAGGGTTCCTTTCCTTCTAACCTCAACTCGGCACATATTTTAAATAAATTTTTAATATTGTACGATACTGTCTGATGTATGTGTTGTATCCTTAAAAGCTTGCAAACAGACGAAGGTGGTACTCAAGTGAAGGAACAGCAACACAATCATAGATGAAAGAAAGAAAGGTTTGTTGTAAAAGAGAATACACTACTGAAAGACAGAGAATCGGGTGGCAGGCTAGTAATTCTCGAAGCAAGCCCCCAGGTATATCATGTGATCCCTATATATAGCTGCTGATGTAGTCAGTTCACATAGGCAATAAGGAGTGTGGGATATTCCAGTATAACAGTATGCAAAGAGTATTTTAATAGGATATAAAGAATTTTAATCTGTTTTCAGTTGTAACACACAAACATATATATGTCTGTAACCTAATATACTGACAATGAGGACTGTGCTGGTGACATAGGTATTCATAATTGGGATTAAATCATCTTTAATAGAACTGCAAACTCTGCTATCAAGTATTCCAAGAAATAGGACTCATGATAAACCTTTCCAAAACAGAAACTATAATCTGGGATTGGAATGAAAGCTGTGATGGCAAATATCCTAAATCTATCATAAAAATTCCATATGTGGAATTAGTAAACAAACACTCAAAATAGTTCAGTGTATAGATCAGTTATAACAAGTGTAGTAAATAAAGTAAGTAAGTAACAGAATACTTATAATAAGAGTTGCTTTGACTAATACTACAAATTGTTACAAAATCAAAACCTTAACTTAAAATCATGAGTTATGCTCTTTTTTGTAATGGAATGTTCCACACTCCTTATCACCTATATGGACTGATTATATCAGTAGATATATATAGTAAGCACAGGAATTACTAGCCTGCCAACCAATTCCCTGTCTTTCAGTAGTGTATTCTCTTTTACAATAAACCTCTCTTTCTTTCATCTATGCCCGTGTTGCTGTTCCTTTCGCTCGAATACCAATTTTGTCTGTTTGTAACCTCTTTAAGGATACAACATGCTTAAATAGCATTGTCAGGTCAATACTTTCATATGGATATCATACATAGTACCAAAGACTGGTGCTACAGAATCACAAAGATCTGTACCAAATAATAGAAACCACATCACTTGAGGACTTTAAGCAACAACCAAAAAATTGATATCACATGTAACTGGTAAAAAGAAAAGAATGACAGAATGCATTTCTTTCTGCAACAGATTGATTGCTAATCAAGGATATAAGACCCAGTCTGACTGTAGTGAACTTGACTGGAATTCAAACTTAGTTCTTTGATTCCTCATTTTGAGCCATCATCCATTACACCAAACCAAACATCTAAACAATTAAAAATATTAAAAGCTAAACAACCTAATATCAATAAAATTTCAGTCAGATTAGGAAAAAAGAATATCAAATTAACCCTAACCCACTGATGCATGAAACTAAGATCTTAGAAAACCACCAAAGATACCCATGCATACCTATAGGCATTCTCTTCTTAATCCATAATAAATTCTCTAATAATGGAAATTTATAATTTAACATTTTAATTTTAAAAATAATCCAGATCATAGAAAAAATTAGTGACAAAAAATTTTTGTGATATCAACAAACACTGGTTGCCACTTTTGTTGCCAATGAATACTTGTCACATTTGTAATGTTCATTATAGTAGAGCCTTTGTAGTTGCAGATACAACTACAGTATGCCATCAAAAATACTGGTGTCAGACACCTTTGAATATCAGTCACACTAATAGTACTTGCTTGGCAAGTAACCTGTATAGTGATCTGAATAGAGAAATAGTATATTGAATAGAGTAGAGAATAGTGATCCATATAGTAATAGATGATAGAATAGAAATGGTGATCTGAATCGTAATAGAGGATAGACTAGAATGACGATCATTTAGACATCACAGGAATTCCTACTTATGCATTTCCTCTATGGTCACGTGGTCTACTTAGTTCAATTATGGGATTGCCTGTGTTTGCTCACTGGTGATCTATGTTCAGACTCAAGTGTTGGCAATGGCACTTTATTCCTATATAACAAAAATATATATATAACTTAAACAACAATTTAGGAAAGAAAGATCAAAATTATAATTTACTGGACTTGAAATATCTAATTCTTTGAAGAACTGCTTTAAGAGAATGATTTTATAAATCTCAGTTGGCAGTAAAACTAATTGTACAGTCAATAAATGCTGAATGTTTTCTACCTGCTAATTTCATCATTACCATCTTTAAAATAGACATAATACTATAATCAGAATTTGTAATGTGCTAACAGAAATTTAACTTGAAATTATTGTGCATTCTTCATTTATAAAAAGTTATTTTACATGATTTCATTTTAGTGAGGAGGTTATTTAACATACTACCAAATCGAAGATAACTAACAAATAATCCTTGTTTTCTATTTGCTGTATAGTTTCAGGACATGGATGATCATCACTCCTCACAACTGCCTATATCTTAACTTTCAGTCCTTAACAACTTTTGTCATTTGCTAAACTTCTCCCTTCGCTCCTCCATCCATTCATAAAAGCTCACTAATTGATGGCCAGCTGCCATCCTCTGCCCCTTTTTTTATTTGATATGTCCTATGGGTGTCAAATTTTTCAAGCCCTCCTAACTCATTATGTCCCTAAGAAGTTCCTACCATCTCTTTCTGGTTTTTAGTGTAAATGTCCTTTTTGTTTGCATTTTCCTTAAAACTTTCTTGCACACACTCCATCCATGGAATTCTCAGCATCCTTCTGTAAAACCACATTTCTTTTACCTGTTCATCTATGACAAGATTATTCAGCATTCACTGTCATACAAAAGGACTGATATTACATAGCAGGTCAGTAATCTCTTTGTTTCTAATGATGTTTTCCTGTTTCATATTATTTTGCTTAGCCTTTGGAAGGCATCTTTTACTATTCCAATGCATGCTTAGATTTTGGTGAAAAATAAAATAGGAGAAAATACAATTGGTGATATCTGTTATTTTGTTCATGTAATGAAAAAGTCCTTTAAAATCAAGATATTTTCTTTTATAGTAACTTTTGTTTCTGTAAATTTCTCATTAAATTCCACATTTGTTTTTAAGGCTTTAGAGAGAAACCAACTGAATCTTAACAGATAATATTTAAAATTATATTTTCCCATGAGCCACAATGGCAAGTTATATGAAACCAAATGCAGAACAAAGAATATCATATCAATACAAATTTATTTTTTTAAGCATAATGTGCAAAATGGCATCTCAGCAAAAAGTGTCAGATTTGCATCTTGCACAAATAAACACAAATAGAACCCCTGGCATACTATCACCAATCTTGAAAAGACATAGACACTGGCATCCAGAGGATGGCAAGAACTAGCAGGGATAAACCAAAAGTAGATTTAATAAACTTTATTAATATCCTCAATTTCAAAATTTCAGATCCCAAAGATATCCATATAAAAGATAGATGATGATTTAGGAGGGAATCCCAAACCTGTCTGAAAATCTGAAAGAAAGTATTCAGGTACCTCAGAAAACATAAGGTCCATTGTTAAAATATTCTTTGACAAGAAGCTTCTCACAGTTGAAATGTTGAACAGCTTCTATTTCACAGCAGTTTACACCAAATTCAGTGTCAGAACCAGATCTTTTGCCCAGGTCAAAGTCTTGGGTTTTGTGACCTCTGATGAGAAAAAAATGTCCTGCTTCTTCTACAAGTTTCTGGAACAAATGTTTACCGATGTCTACTTCAAGGTTCAGTGGCTCCATCATTTACCACGGGACATGGGCAGCCACCCTGACATGATAGGTTATGCAAAGCTAATATAACTGTATGTGATTATGTTCATTAAACAAGTTGGGAGTAGAAGAATGACCCTTTACTTGGGTATGAAAGTTCAAAGTATCTAGGGAAATCACTATTAACTATGATCAATTCTGACAATATATAGTGGTCCATGATGAATGTGGGTTTGGGAGCTGTGATTTATAACTTTT